TAGTTATAATATTGATAATCTAGATAAATAAACAAATCTTTCTTTGAACAAAACTAGTAGCTGAAAGTAAATTATAATTGATCCTTATGTAATCATAATGTTTGATAATGATAACAGTTTGTTGAAAGGAATGCTTAGTAATGCATTACTGTGTGTTTGTTGTGATGAACTCAATGTCAGTTTCATTTCTAAAAGGATGAGCTTTAGTATGCTCATATCAATAATACAAGACTGAGCATGATTCATGGTAATTTGCCTGACTTTATAAATTCATAAAAAATCTAAATTTGATCAGAACCAGCTCAAACTTTCTACGCAGCATAAGAACATGTATATGTATCAGAAAATGTAATAAAAATTGTGAATTTTAAATTTTTTGATTTTCACAAAATTTGGCCCAATACCATGTACTACAGTACAGGGACTTTGGCCCAATTTTAGAACAACTTCATACCCAGCATAATGAAGCCCCTTGTAACACTACCTTATACTAATAACAGCACTATATGCAGTAGAGTATAATCCTATGAATGTTTATTACATTCATAGTAACTCCTAAAAAGGAAGTGGGTAATAGATAACCTAAACCTGCCCATTTGCTGATACTAGCATTCTTAAGTGAATAACAATAATGGCTGAAGGAGGTCAGTTCTCTTTATAAAGTGTACCAATCTTTTAGCACTGCACTGTAGGTAAAAGTGCTAAGGATGTCTTTAAAAAGACACTACCAAAGCTTATAAACATACTTGGGAAGGATCCACCATTTTCTGTAGTCACTGCTTCTCTCAATGCTGAAGACCTGATAACTGATCAAGAGCTTGGAGCCATTAAGACCAAACAAGGTGTTGAAAGAGGCAGTGAAGTGGCTTATACTCTAAGAGACAAGATAAAGGATAGTGATGATCCTAATGCCTGTTTACTGGCCATATGTGAGATATTTGAATCTGAACTAGTAGACAATGCTACATTGAAGAAACATGGAGAAAGCATGAGAACAAGCATATCAAGTAAAACACATTCCATTAGTATCCTTTCTAAATACTTTTTTAATAGATGGAACAGCTGCTACACCAGTTCAAGTACCAGCTGTTACTCCTTCAGCTCCTCCTCATCCTTCAGCAGCAGCTCTGCCACCACCTAGGACTAACCCTAATGAACTAGGTACAATAGAACATTATACTGTACTAAGTTCACATTGATATTTTCAGGTATAAATGATTTAGTGACAGTGAGAACTGTTTTAACTGAAGCAATGTTTGGACCAGTTCATTGGACTGATTTAGGATTGTCTCTGGGTCTTTTTATGCCGACACTTAATGTGATTAGTAGAACTAATGGAGACGCTAACGATTATCTCAACCTAGCTCTTCAATATTGGTTACAAAAGAAGGATAATGTTACAGGAACAACATGGCATAATTTAATAAGAGCTGTCAGGAGTACTGGGGACAATGCAGCTGCCGATAGGATACGAGGCATTTTGAGATCACGCAATATCAACTGTTAATTATTATATTTGCTTATTTTTAGTTTTTGTCATTATTAAAATTGTTTTCTGGCCAGTATAGTAGTGTTGTGTGGTGAACCTTGACTATGAATGACTGATATCCCATATAAGGGGAACATGAATATCATTAAATACCTTTGCTGAAGGAAGCAAAAGGAAGCTTGTGACAAATGGCAGCAAGTAAAGACTATTAGTCCTAATTTTAGTATCTTTTCTATCCTTCCTAATAGCCCCTGGCAATGGATCTGAACTAAGTAATGTCATGTATCTTAAACTATACATTCATTTCATGTATATCCATTATTATAGCTATACAGGATTTAGCACTAGTGGAGACAGTACTTGGAGAAGCAATGTTTGGACCAGTTAGCTGGCAGAAGCTTGGACTAGATCTAGGAATCTACATCACGAACCTGAATGTTATTGAAAGAGAGAAAGGTGATAGTACAGAACATTTGAGAAAAACTCTACAACAATGGCTTAATAAAGTGGATAAAGTTAGGGACACAAGATGGCCGACATTGATAAAAGCAGTTAGGAGTACTGGAGACAATGCAGCTGCTGATAGAATGCCTAATATCATTAAGAAACACAGTAATGTTTAATACTTTTATTTTTGCTGTTTTTGAATCATGTATTAGTTAAAGAGTAATAACTATTATCTAAACTATCAATGAGAAACAACAACTCTATATAAGGAAAAGGTATACGGATATACATAGACCGTATATGTCAAAAGAATGAATGACATTGTACATGAATACCAGTACATGGACATTGCATCATTATGACATATGACTACACAGCAAATTCCAACTGCAACAGCCCACACCCTTGGCTTACAAGATGTCAACAAGTAAGTTTATATGCTATAGAAAGAAATGATGGTGGCCCCCTTAAGCCTATCAGTGATGAGTGGTATTAATAAACAATCCTTCACTGTATATACAGAAGTATAATATGATCTCTCTCTCCCTCTCTCTTATCAATAACAGGTCCAGATGAACTCTTTAGGTCACATTTTGCTGACATCAACAGTTCAATTGCTGCACGACTAGATAAAGCATTGGATGAGTTCTTGGGTGCTTCACTGATCCCATCACAACTGTTTGATGATATAACTACTACTAATGGACCTGCTGGTCAAAAGGCATCAAAAATGACAAGAGAACTGATGAGAGGAATCAGTAACTGTAAGAATGGAGAGGAGAGGCTGGAGGTGATTTGTAAGATACTACTGAAGCTTGAAGATGAAAAGTTAAAAGAAATTGTGGCAGACATAAGTAAGTATTGTAGTGTCTGATATTTATTTTAATATTCTTTAAAGGATCAAGAATTGGGTCTGGAGCAACTGGTGCCTCAGGAGGAGGAGGAGGAGGAGGTACGGTATATAACTAGATATAACTACAATGAAGTACACATTATTATTATTCATGATTATTAAGTGTTGTTATTACAATCCGTTATGATTGTGTGTGTTTTTATAAAGAAGTATTTATAGTACACAAACAAATCTTCCTTTAAAAGAAACATTAGTTATATTCCATTCTTTATAGTGCCACATCCTAAGACAAAAGCACAGGCAGTTGATATTACAAAGCTTAGGAAAGCAATTGAGAGTGTGATCAACAGTTGGTATGGATCACTCAACAGGCTACCTGCTGCATCTGTTAAGGACTTTGCCTATTCTCTATTCTCAAAGGAGGTCATCAGTGAAGCAGTGTGCAGTGATCCGACCATCGATAAGATATTGGGAGAATTCAAGGCTTCTCTTGGCTTCACAAGGACAGTGCAAGAGTTTGAAAGTTCTTGTACTAAACTTCTTGAGTCAATGTCATCTGTGGGTGGTAGTTATCATGTTGCTGGAGCTGCTCTTAAAGATGATCTCATCGATGCTGTTCAGAAAGACTGTAACTACTCATTTAATATTTCAATGTAATAAAATGTCAAGTTATTTTCATGTAATGTTGTCAAATTTTTAAGTAGAAAAATTCATGACATTATGGCATGACTAAGCACGTACATGTATGGTAAATGGTAAATGATGCAATCCTGACGTATACATATCAACAAAAGACACTCCCACAAGCACTACAGCTCTGAAACAAGAAAGAGAGTCCCAAAGCTCAATGGCCAGTAAGTCTCCTATATATCTATCCATGTGTGTGTGTGTAGCTACTAGTATACTGTCTAAAGATATTGACAGCATCCATAAATGGAGGACACTGTATATACTGTTGCATGATCATAGACCTATTGAATTATTTGGCAAAACTTTGGTACAAGCAATTTGCTACTATCTAGTAATGAAAGGACAGATGTGATACAGTTTCAAAAAGAAGAATGCTTCATATAGCCTTTAAAATCAAGGAAGAAGCATTAATGGTGGATATGATAATATTTGCATTGTCATTGTGTATCATTCATGACTTGTTAATAACTACTGCACGTCACAGTGTGTGGGTTGATAAATATTCATGATATGTACACATGAATACCATTACACTAATAATATCAATTACTACTAGTAACAAAGCTTGCAGTAGTAAAGCATATAACTGTACTGCATTTATAGGTATTAATAGACCAGAGGAAAAACCAGGGAAAGGAGGTAGTGATGGTAAAGAAGGATCAAAACGTTAGTGTACAATCTTCTGCATAATTAACATTAAATATGCAATAATTACATTGAGTGCTATAGCTTAATTTTTCTGTAGGAGAGAGTGCTGACGTAAAGAAAGTTATTAAAGAAATAAAAGAAGTCGTCATTTCTCAGTATGCTAACATCACTAGCATGTCAGAGGACAACCTTAGGCCAGTTGCTGATGAAATGTACGCAGAAAAGATCATTAGTCGTGGAGTCAATAACAAACCAACATTCAACAGTATAATTAGCGAGTTTGAATCAAGTCTTAGCTGCTTCTCAACGTTGACCAAAGTTGAGGATCATTGCAAGAAGTTTCTGTCAGCTCTAGAACGAGTCGGGGGAGCCCCTGCCAAAAAAGCTGCAAAATTAAGAGAGGAATGGGTGAAGGCTGTCAAGGCTAAGTTCGGCTTTGAACTTAATATTTGACGTTTTGAACTTATGACTTCGTTTAATTTTTTCTAATTAAATTAGACTAGTGCATGCTGTCACAACCAGTATAATTATAGTGTAGCTGATTTTCAACAATAATAATTTGTATAATTAATTATTACAACCAGCCTTCTTGTGATGAACTGATATAACACAATCTTGTACAAGTACAATACCTGATATCAACAATCAGAATCAGCAATCCCATGAAGCAATCCATTACATTCTACAGGTATACAGCAAATGAATAAAAAAACTAATAAAATAATTATATTTTATTTATAGCAAATGATACTTTATTGGGTGACTGTCTTCAAATCATTGTAATGGAAGGAAATTTACAAAAGAAGTGGTTTGTTCTTAGTCAGGTGGGTCAGGCTCCACCTGACTAGTTTGATCTGGGGTACAGATTAGATCTTAAAGTTGATGAACTCTATGATATTGAAACTGTATGCACTAACAGCATTCAGTGCACTAGAAGAGCAATAACTGAATGGAAGAGAAAAAGTAAAAGCAGATCACTGAGGCCATTATCTGAAGGACTTAACAAAATTAGATTGCCACATTTAGCTGATAGAATTGATCATCTACATCAATTTCCTGACAGCATAAGTCCAATAAGTTTGCCAAGTATGTGTGTTGAGTAAACAAACTTCCAGCAACATAAATAGAATAGAATACTTTTGCTAGGCTGTACTCAGACAATATGCATGTACTTTTGAGAAGTTGTCAAGCATCTTAATAATAATCACATGTCATAATGATGTAATGCAATACTTGATTATAAGATATATTTCTTTTTGCTAGTATTACCTCCTGAGGCAGAAGCACAGGCAGTTGATATTACAAAGCTCAGGAAAGCAATTGAGAATGTGATCAAAAGTCAGTATGGATCACTGAACAGATTACCTGCTGCATCTGTTAAGGACTTTGCCTATTCCTTATATGCACAAAGGCTCATCAGTGATTCAGTGTGTGATGATCCAACTATCAATAAATATTAAGAGAGTTCAAAGCTTCTCTTGGCTTTACAAGGACAGTGCAAGAGTTTGAAAGTTCTTGTACTAAACTCCTCCAGTCAATGTCTTCAGTGGGTGGTAGCTATCATGCTGCTGGAGCTGCTCTTAAAGATGATCTCATTGATGCTGTTCAGAAAGACTGTAACTACTCATTTAATATTTCAATGTAATAAAATGTCAAGTTTTAAAATATAATTTTTCAAAATATGAATTCATATCATGACTAAGCATGCATACATAGATATATGGAAGTTATTAATATTCATTGTCAATACATGACATGACATGACACAGTATGATATGACACAGTATGACCAATCAATTAATAAGCTCTGAATTTTCTTCATTATAGCAAGGGCAGCAAAATCTGTTTCCACTGCAGCAATTCTTCTTACACTACTAGTTAATTTGGTAAGTGTACTGGTGCTATTACTCTATTACTATCCATCCTATTGCAGCAGAGATCATCAGACCTACAGCAGTTGTTCCAATAGAAAATGAAATGTACAGGTAATTAAGCATGTGCTATTCCTATCTCTTACATCAAAGGATTTGTGTTTATAGGCAAGTCAGCATGCAAGTTCTTTGGCCTGTTAATATTTGGGCTCACACTAATAATAGTCCTTCCTGGCACTTTGATAATAGCAATCAATCCAGAGTTTCAAATCAACAATACTCTGTACATTGGAGATAGCTTGAGAAACACTACAGGTGTACATGAAGCTTCTTCTTCCATAGGAAATGTGAACATGAACTTCAATATTAGAATTGACAGTGTTTATTCCATGTCCAGAAAGCCATCGACAACAACTGAGCGTCTTCCAGAAATAGAAATTGCTTCAAAAGAAAATGGCTATTATCAAGATTATAATTACCTTGGAATAAACCAGCCCATTTATCTACTGGCCAGATCAGTTATAAATTACAAAACTACACTTCAAATTAAAGAACCTCACAATTCATTTGATAACTTAGCTTGCGTAATCCTTTTCAACAGTTTAGCAAAATTTGATGACTTTTTTAGATATGGTACACACTCAGAGTCTCAAATGCAATGCTTCACAAATGAGAATACATCATCAGTGTCATGGTCATTCAGTATAGCAGAAGAGTCTCAGTATTATGTTGGCATTTCCATCAAAAGAGGTGTGACAGTAACTAGTAATGTATCAATCGATCGAGCTTATTACAATCTATCACAAACAGCAAGAAACATCTGCACTAACTCGCTATCTTGTAATATAACAGTCTGCAGTGACATACTACTTTGTGAAAAGTCATACATCATCATAAAGACCAAAGGCATTACTGAAGTGGCTTTATTGGAATATGATATATCATTGAGAAAATGGACAATAAGAGCAATTATTGTACTTCTCCCTTTGTGCAGTCTAGCACTGATAATCATTGTAACCAGTTATATTAGATGCTACAAGTGTCAAAATACCAAAAGAAGAGCTGATGATGATAGCGCTAGTGTTGCCAGTTCTTCATTGCTTGAAATGGAAACACCTTTTGATGATGATGATCGCATTGAATTGATTCCTGATTCAAATCAAAGTAAGTTAATATACAATTGACTATTAATGATTCTTTGGCAGGACCACCCAGCAGAAATGAGGATGAAAGAAATGAAGAAAGTGACATTTCTCAGCACAATAGTATGTTATTTTTTAACATGCCATTGTTTAATGTTAATGAAAATACTCATAGGGACTTCATCAATTCCAATTCCACTGAGTGAAGAGCTATTACAAAATGCCAAAGGTTTGATATAATCATCAAGTTGTTTCTATGATTGTTGATTTGTTGTGTTCTTACAGATACATTTGATGAAACTCCAAAGCTACAAGTAGGTAGTAATCAAACAGAATATCACAGCAGTCAGTATGGAGTGACTCTCATTATTCCAGAGGGAGCAGTGCAAGGATCAGCTACTGTTTGGTTTGGAGCAGTTCTCTTCAGTGATAAGTTTGAGTTTGGAGACTATGTACGTGTATCCCCCATAGTGTGGGTCCACAGTGATAGAAAGTTGGATAAATGTGTTGAGTTGTATATTCCTCATGACATTGTCATCAGCACTAAAGATGACCTACAGAAATTCACTTTATTGGAGTTTGACAAAATTTCAAATATTTGCACAGATGAATTTAATGTCGGTCAACATGATAAAATGAAGTGGGGCTCTAGGCAGCTAGTCAAAATCGAGTGTCAGTATTTTCATTCTTATTGCATTGCTGTTCATAAAGATCTCTTTGATATTGTTTCAAAGCAATATTTAATGGCAATAATTGAAAAAAAGAATGCCAATGAAGAGCTGCTAGTTGACTTCATTCTTATATGCCGTCAGCAAGGATGGAAGAAGGTAAACCAATAAATATTTATTAAAATCCAATATACTGTTGCATGTTACAGATAATAGCCCAGTGTGATCAGGAAGGATTTAAGATCGTGAAATATGAGCCAGTTTCATTCAAAAGAGGTAATGAACATGAATTATCTGTTCCATTTGAAGCACAACATATCAACAATATAACAAGAAAATACACAGCAAAAGTAATGTCCTGAATATAGTTAGTTAATTTTATATATTTATTCATCATACAGATTCCAGTATCTATTAGAGATATTGAGTTGCTGGACCAGTTAAACGAAAAAATTAAATTTCGAGATCTTCCCCGTTTTAGAATACAGTTCATTCATGGAAGCACAGCAACCCAGCATAAGAATGCCAAAGAAATAACCGTCAGATTTAATAAACATTCTTCTAGATCTCCTGGTAACTTAAAAACAGTCCAGCTAGGAAGTAGTCCTCTAAAACTAGACACTGGATTAACAAGTAGGCAACAATTAATTCTTGGTAATTGTATTTATTGTATGTATTTATAGAAAATGATTCAGTACTGACAGAGTTCATACGCATCATTGAAGCAGAGCAGAGATTGAAAACCTTGTGGCGCACTTTAGGGAGTCGTCTAAACCTTAGTCTTGATGAGCTGAGTGACATTGAAGTGATGTCTAACAATCCTGATCAATATCCAGCCAGACTCATTGATACATGGGAGAGAAAGGACAAAAGTGATTCATGGGATAGACTAGAAACAGCCCTGGATGACATTGGATTTAATGAATTAGCATGCAGAGTCGGAAATCTTATTCAAAAACAGCGACAAAGTAAGTCACAAAATGTATACCGTATACCAGTAAATTTTTGGCTCAAAATTTTCATGGATTTTGCGTTTTTTTCAATTCATGAAAATAAAATCCGCGAAAATCAATTCAATACAGTTCAAGATGACCGAAAAGTAGAAACCCACAAAAATTAAGGCCACAAAATTGATTTTTGAACGGATCCGCAAATTTTTGGGTCACAAAAATTTTCTGCTATACAGAAAATATATGCAATTCTATGCAAAAAACTATATATGTGATTCTGATTAAAAATTCCACAAAAAATGGCTACACAATTTCTAAATAATGATAATAATAATAATATCTGATATAAAAATATTAACATTTAATGTAGTCCCCTACATTTTAGACCCTGCAGCTGCACATTTTCAATCACATTTTGCTGATATTCAAACTTCAATTGCTGCCACATTAAATCAAGCATTGCCCAAGTTCTTTGGAGCTGAACTGATAACTCAATCACTATACGATGATGTGATAGGTATGCCTGGGATACCTGATAATAAAAAATCAGCCATGGTCACTCGGCAACTTTTGGGAGGAATTCAGAATAGTAGGAAACCAAACATAAGACTAGGAAGAATATGTGAGATTTTTTTAGAATTGGGCGATGAGAAGCTAAAAGAATTTGCTGAGAGTGTGGGTAAGGGAAAGGTTAAAAATACACATCATGATGAGTAAATATTCTATAGCTAGGGGAAATTTTTTTGCCAAAACAGCTAGATATCCTGTATCATATTCCAAGGAATATTCAAAGAGAAATTTTGATATCACTAATCGACTAGGTACAATAGAAGATGTACATATATTTATACACTATATTTCATTATATTTTTATAGCTAAGGGGCCTCAGTTAGGAACAAGTTTTGAAGAAGGTGTTGAAGAAATTGAATTGTAGCGATTAGCTAATGTACCATTATTGTAGTTTTCAGAAACCTAGATCTATGTAGATGTAAATTTATCACAATTATTTGACTATCAGTGATTTAATCTAAATGAACATGAACATGTGTTTGTGCATTAATTAAAATAAATACACATGACACAGTACTATCCTCCCATAGCAACCAAAGACATTCACATAACGATCATTGTACATGTAGACTGACCTGAAAGTGCTTGTTCCAGAGATTGAATCCTCATACCGCGTAAGTGGTTTTTTTCGAGCGTTAAAATTTCTCCCTGATTTGCAAAAATTTAAATACAATACCCACATGGCACATCGTAGAATTTACGGAGTTAAAAACTGGGAATTGAAACTTTAGTAGATTTCGCGGATATAATTCTCTCAAAAAAACTTACCACTTTTGTCAGGCTCGCCCACACAAAATGACTCAGTTGGTTTTGTTGAAATCTGGAAACTAATTCACTGGTCACTGAGAAGAGACAACCTGTAATGGGAAGATTAGACAGTTAGGTGTAGCCTCATTATTCGTCTTACAGGATAAAATCACAAATGGAGTTAGCAAGACATTCTGAAGCACCCACGTGAAGTAAATTTCAGTATACTCATACAACAGAGCAAATTTTGACAATAATTAAAACAAGAGTAGAAATTATGAAAAATAATAATAATTGTAAATGATATTCATTACATCTAAAGCTGTAATCTTCTTCTATTTTGTGATAATAAATAGAAAATGCTAATTGAAAAGGAATGATACAATAGTATAGTACAGCTGAGACTGAGAGTGCAATGATTTCAATGATTTCTGTCACGCCCACAAATTGAAATTATTAAAATAAAGTAAATAGAAAATAATACTGTATTAATTAATTAAATGCTTCATAATACATTTATTAAATACTATTGGAAGGGTCTATCATTTTTTTCAATTATATAAAGTTTTATATGGTTCAGCAAGACATAAACAGTCTAGCTAGTATCACCAGTGAGCAACAAACTGGTAGGAACGTCGACTAACGTTCTGGGAATCAGGTCACAACCTTGATACTATAAGCCCTGTGTCACACACTAGGGCCAAAGACGCAAAATACTACGTAACATGCCTAGCTCCAATCCTAAAAAACATAGGTTATCATCATTACTCCATTACACACACATTTCTTACCATATGGAATGTAAACTAGATGGTATTTTCTCCAATGGATCTGCAGAATCTAAATGAAGAAGTTCATAACTGATACATAAAATAACTTTAACTAACCAGAAGACAATAGACAAGGATCAGTCTTATTTATAAAGTCACTAGCAACAATCCTAAAAAAGAAGATATTATTATAACATAAATAATTATTATGTTATTATGATCAAACAGGACTTAATTTATCTAAACACTTAAATCACAACTCAAGCTAGCTTAACATTGACTATTAGACTGAGTGCATGTACATAAATGCACCATTGCTTTTGAGAATCTTGATATTTATTATTTTCAGCTACAATTTCAATGTCCATATACATGTACTCTACACCAGCAAAAGGAGGTGGAACGTCATCAATATTTAACCCTGAAAAACGTTAGTAACTAATACACAAGAATTGATATTACTAACCATATCCATTAGAGAGCTCACTAGTATTGTTACTATATTATAATATAAGTATAATAATATCATTATTAATATAACTTACTTTAGTGAATCTTCTATTCCATTATAATAGATACTACTTGTCCATGGTGACCTTGGAAAGACAGGTAAGAGTGACAAGTCCTTCTTAAATATGGGGACTTCCTCAAGCTGGGAACGAAGCTGATGATTCAGTTCCTCCACAACAAGACGACTTTTCATTTCATCTTCAAGTTTAGTTTCTGTATCGTTTAGTCTCTCGCGAAGAGATGCTATTTCAGCATCTTTAATACGTTCCAAGTTACTATTATTATTATTATTATTATTATTATTACTGATCCTTTCTTCACCATCCCTTTTCAATCTTCTCACTTTATCCTTTTCAAAGTCCAGGTTCACTTTCCATGCTGTTTCAGCAGATTCCAGTTTAGCGTTCCTCCTTGTCAAATGGATAATGCGACGATCCTTCTGTTGTAGTTCAAATTGAAATCGCTCACTTGCTTCATCAAAAGTGTTATTCAAATTTATTTCCAATTCCTCCCAACGCCTCTTGTCGAATTTCAATTTTTTATTTTCCTTTTCATAGTTTTCTGCTTTACTCGACAAATATCTCTGGGCCTTGCACATGCTATGGTATTCTCTACCACAGCGATTCAGCACTTTTCGTTTTCTTTGTTTTCGTCTCACAAAGTGAAAGTACAGATAGGCAAGTACCAAAACAGAGATGACAGTTATTGTGATGACAGTTATTGTGAAGACGAGCCAATTAAAAAGGATGCTAAATACTATAGCAGAAACGGCAAGAAAGCCTATAAAAAGGTATAAAATGACGTATTATCAATAATATAATATAGATATAGGTTTGATACATGCATATTTGAATACATTTCTCAATTCTCATATAAAGAAACCATTAACACTATAAATGGGATGGATTAATAATAGCCATTAACACTATAAATGACACAAAAATCGTAAAATTAAAAACCGCCAATTATAAGTTTACAGCCAAATTGCCAAAATAAAGCGCTATATGGTATTTATAAAATTTAATATGCCTAAAACAAATGAACGAAATAAATATTGACCAAAATTGCCGTTTGCTTACCTTGTTGATCTGCTGTTTGTCTGGAACCCTGCTTTCTTTTTTCTTTAAAAGCTATGCCTTTATCATTAACAACTAAAAATGAAAAAAATAATTATAGATGCACACACTGCATAACCTCTCACCTTCTTTCTCCTCTTCCTGTTGTAATTCAAAGACAGTAACTCCTTTATCCTCTAGCTTTTTCAGTATTACTGGATCCTTAAGATCTCTGATGACATCATCAAAAACACATGGTAGTATAGCGTAAGTGATGATAACACAGTTCTCTCTTAGTTGTTTAAAAATTGCATACTGTGACCATGAAAACTCTTTCTTAAAAGTTAAGACCCATTCATGTGCATTATTGAATGAATCAGGCTTCTCAATTTTAAAAGAAACATAAGGTAAGCCAAGAGGAGCAGTAGGAGATAGATCAGACTGTTTTTCAAATAAAGGTATCAAATCCTTAAAGGAAACTGCACTTAACAATTTTGCATATTCTTTTTCATATTCAAAAAAATGTTGCTTAAGCTTATCATCATTAACGAGTTCAGATAATTTCTTCAATAGCTTGTAATTGAGGTAACCAATAAAATCGTAGTCACTTAGAAAATCAAAAAAGCTTTTAAAATCCTTAACCTTTTTAAGAAGATCAATGCAGGGCATTAAATTTGGAGCAACACGAGCTTTCCTTTTTAAGCGTCCTTTTATAAACTCTTTTGCATTGTCTACATCAATCTCATTACTTTGAAGTGATACTTTCACAGCAACAACAAGATGCCCAAATTGATTCAGCAATTTATTAGCAATGTCTCGTAGCATAGAAACTTGATCAATTCTGTGCTCAAGATCATGAACACCTGCAACAATACATAAAACTATATACCCTGCTTCAATCTCTCTTACCTGGATTGACAATGGCTGACTGTGTTTGATCAGGCCCTATGAAGAAATGTACAATGTATCAGAAATATCACTATGATGCACTTATCTAACCTCCACTGGTAAGCAATGTTGGGTGTGCAGCTAATATTGAAATTTCATTAAGAACAGCTGACAATAGGAATTAAAATAAAATTATATAAAATCACTATTACTTTGTCTTTCTCTATCAATATTATCAGCTACAGCATTCTCTTCTATTCCTCTAAGAGCAGCTATCAGTGTATCTATTGTTGGGTTGTGTACATTATCAGCTTTACGCAACCAGCTAGCCAAACACTCCGTGAAACAACGATCTACTTGTCCTTTATGTTCTTGCTCAATGATCCTCAGTGTATTATCAGATAATAGAAGACGTAGACCAAGTCGATAATACGATGCTTTGTTGTACTGATGTCTCTCAAGTAATGCAATCACTTCATTAAGATCTCTAATATCTAGATAAAATAATTACTAATCAGAAAATTATTGGGTGGAGGTTGATTTGGAGAATCCATTTCATAGGAGCCACCCCATTATTCTTTCATGTACTCACCTAAGGTCCTTCTAGTCAGTACAGAAGCAGGATCAATATGGCAAACCTTCTGTGCCACAATTTCACACACAGGAAATATACAGCAGTACAAAATCCAAGACCAAATTAGCATTGTTTAAAATATAATACCAAGACAGTTCTTACCGCCCCTCATGAATATATCTAATTTTTTTTAAATAAATAATGCTGTATCACATAAATTAATCAG